TCACATGAAAACATAATATTCCATATTGATAAAACAATAGGGAAACTATCTTTTTTTAACGATATATATTCCTTTTTTCGAAAGAATTTTCGGTACAACCTAAGTTAATATAGGTGAGAATAAAGAAGGAAAATTCAAATGAGTTTTAATATTTGATGTGGAGTAGAAGATAAGTGAAGCAATAGTAATTGAAATAGTATAAAGATGAAAGTAGAATGAGAATTGGAGAAAATATGTTTTCTATCAATGAAGAGAAACATTCCTTCCTATACTTGCGCGTTGATTTGGATAATTAGTGATTCATTCAACGTTGAAAAATGTTGTCTAATTTGGTGAAGTGGCAATTTTATCAATATAAAAACAGTTTGATGTCATTGATGTGCTTGTTTTCCAACAAACAAATCACTCTCTGTCTTGCTAAGCACCAAAGTTTCTTTTCACTAATAAGTAATAATCTTGTTGAATTTGACATATATGTTTTTGGAAGGGTTGGATATATTGCAAGTTTTTCTCAAGTAAGTTTCAAGTTTAGACAACATGAGGTGGGGCTTTTTTTTTGTTGTTGTTTGTTTGTTTTTCAGAACCCCCCATGAAATGTGACCATTTGTGCAGTAAAAGGAGCACACTTTCACATCAAAATTAGGTAGACTTGATCTTTGAAGAAATGGTCTCTTTTTCTTGCAACAAAAATCTTGAAATTACTCATATATGTGTACCAATTACCAACCCCTCTTGTGCTGCACCCCTAACGTTTCCATTTTTTTCTTTGAAGTTCAATGTTCTATCTTTTGGCGATCTAAATTTAATACTCTTTTCTATTTCAATTATTAGTCATTTCGATAAATTACATTATTTTGAAATATTTGACGTCTTATAGAAATAGGATGTATTTATTACTTTGTGTTTTTTTTTTCAAATTCACTCTTACTCTTTCAATTAGTGTAATGTTAATTAATATGTGAAACATTTAAAGAAAAATAAAAGCTATGTTAAACAAATACTTTAGGTTTGAGCTAGCCTTGAGGGTACTCCTTTGTTCTAGGGGCAGACCCTTCGCGAAAAATCATATTATATATAGATGTCAAATTTTGATATAAAAGTATTGACACCCCTTGACGCTAGTAAAATATTTATTCTAGTGGTTAAGATGTTTCAAAAGTTCCTTGAGGTTGTATGTTCAAGTCACTGCTTTGTTCTCTTCCACTTTTCATTTTGCATGCTTTTAATAAAAGAATAAGTAATATGAGTAAATAATTCAATATATTATTTTATAATTTTAATCTATTACTACTTCTTATTTTCACCACATTAATCTCTCTCTAAATTTATTATAGCAATAATTTTAAATATATATATATATATATAAATCAATCTTCTCTCATTTTTCTAAAACAAATATTTTGGTATAATTAATTTTTAGTAAACATGACCAATAAAATGGAATAGGGAGTGAAAATTAAATACTTTTTTAAATGAAACACCAAACAATATATGAAGGAAAATATTAATTAAAAGGGTAATGCTAAATGGCCAGAAAATTTGGCCAGAAATTTAAAAAGTCTATAATATCATTTTTATTTTAAAATAAACTGATCTTTTTTCCATAGTATGAAATATGTTATTTTAAATTTTCTGGCCAAAAGGTAAATGTTATTGAATAATTGCATGTCGACGTATTAAATGGTGTTTAATCTATGAGCAAGCAACTTTGAGTTATCTAGATCTACAAGTCAGCTTTGAAGTCGCCATCATAATTCATAATTAATGAAAATAGTAGAAGAGTTTAAATGTAAAACACATTACACATATGCCACACGCTATTCTCTAGTTGGAACATGAACTTTTCAAATTAACATTTTCAGTCCTACCATTAGCTTAATTAAGACCACGTTTTAACCGCAAATCATTTAATTTGTTGTGTGATTTGATATTTGCTCTGTAATCAGTTAACTAACAAGGGACCATTTAACTATTGTATCTTACTTAAAGCACATCAATTGATAACTAATTCGAATTTGTCTTCTCTGTTCACTTAGTCATAGTAATTACAATCGAATCAAATTTCTTAACTCTTTATCTTATTTTATGTGTCATTATATAATTTGATTAAAGCATAAGCCACTGTTCTTATAAATTTGCTGTTAAACATTTGGTATTGTCATAAAACATTATTATTACTATTGTATGTATTAAGCTTAAGACTAAGTCGTGTACGTTCGTCTTGCTTAGGCCCACTATTTGCATATTTGCTTTGTAATGGAAAATAAACAAAACTTTTCGTAATTTTATTCATAGTATAATATTATATTCAGAAATTTGCAAACTTGACCCATGCATATATATTTTTTGGAGAAAATGTATATATGGTTGGTCCCAGCAAATCACCGAAACGCGCATTGAGAAATACAGCAGACTAGGAGCTGGTGTATATATGTCATGTATTCAACCAATTCCAAATACTATTATTTTATTTATTTATGCTTTAAAAACAAGTACTCCACTTGGTAGGTGAACAATATTATTATTATTATTATTATTATTATTATTATTATTACATAATATAGAAAGCAACACAACCGATCGAATGCATGAACTTAAGCTTTTAATCAACCTGATGGAAGGCTTCAGACCAAATAAATAAGTTAAAAACTTAATGGAAGGCCACAAAGAGACGATGACTGCGATCATCAAAATAGAAACCACTCACCATACACATACGCCCTAGTCCCAAAGGACCATATGGACAATTATATTTAAGAGATTCTTTGGATTGACTTATATAAACGCTTTTAAGTCGAAATATCATTTTAAAGCATTTCTTGAATGGTTGGGTAAATTTTAAAAAATGTTTATTAGCACTTGATCTAAACTTAAAATGATAAAAATAAGTTAAAAATCAAAAGTCATTCTAGACTCTAAATTTATGTATCTGAGTAAATACTCTCACATAAAAAATTTTTTATTTTAAATAATAGTTGTCCACTATTGACTTAACATATACCTTAAGAAATAATAAATAATAAGAGTCATATGACAATATTAGCATTTGAATATAGTAAATTTAATGTTTTGGAAAATGTATTGATTATTGAATAGTATTTAATGTCAAGGGTAAAACAGACACAAAAGGGTAAAATATCTCACAATTTTCCAAACTGAATAAATATTGTTAAGCAACTATTTTTAGTATAGTGAACAATTAAAGATGAACGAATGGAGTATAATGAGAGCGTACTAGCAACAAATACTCATTAATAAACTTATTCATCCAATAGTATGGATATTGTGATAAAATATATTCATATTAATTATTATTCCTTCCGTTCTATATTAGTCGATCATTATACTAAAAATAGTTATTCTTTATTAGTTGTCCATCTTACTAGATAAGAAAAACATTAATTAAATTTTTTTATATTACCCTTACAATTAATATTTTTTGGTAAAATTTTTATTTTTTTTATGGGTGAATTAGTAAAATTATCTTATAATATTATTTATAATTTTTTAAATATCGTATAAAATAAAAAGTGAACAACTAATATGAAATGAAAATAACATGTAAAATTCATAATTTAAAGTAGCCAAGAAGAAATAGACACAGAAAGTATTAAATTATGTAGAACGTTGAATTCAGCATGGGCAAATGAATTTTCTTATGGAAATTAGTAAAGTTAGCGCAGTACCGATAATATAATTTGAGTGCGTGCGGCCAGGCCCAGGGTTTTGGACTTGATTGTCGGTGGAGATTGTCCTTTCTGTTGACTCAGCAATTTTATGCTGCCCACGTATTTCTCCCAACTCCCTTTTCAAACTCGTCAACTATAGACCATCCATTTCATGAACAATGCAATCAATATATGCCTTTTTAATTCTATTAAGGTTCACCTTCATTAAATATCGATAAATTAGAATCTCCTGCCCCAATATATCTCCTATGACACAATATCTAGAACAAATGACATTTATGATAAAACTTACCTAAAACACACTAATATAGATGCTAATTACTCAATGTATTTATAATTACATATATTATTTGAGATACACTCGTGAAATTATTCTATTCTTATTACAGCCATACAATCAACTCAAAAAGAAGACACCAAAGTCGGTCCAGAGTTGTCAAGTCCAACTATAAAAACTCGTTTCTGAAGATGGGCTGGGCCTAATCTCCAATGGACACTACTGGTGACTCAAGTTTGATACAAAATTTGGCCCGTAAGAGAATGCTAGTAATTTTGTGTACATAATTGCACATTTTACCTTTGAAATGAGTTGGTCTTCAATTTTTGCACTGGTCAATAATTTTTAGCCTTTAGCAGCTAGACTTATACCTACATTCTTTAGAAATTGATGTCATGTCAAATATAACTTGTGGGATTTTATGATACTAAATGATAAAATTATACTTGTTTGTTACGAAGGATATAAATATAAATATGTGTGTAAATAACCCTTATTTTTGAAGGATATTTGGGAATGGCTTAATGAATCTTGTTTATGAAAAAAGAGAAAGTGGTTTGGCTTGCAATGATGAAGCAACAGCGAAACAAACAAACTTTGCGGCTATAGCGCTGATGAAATGATCACTTAATAAACCCATACGCTTTAAATTTCAATTTATTCTTGGGTTCATAATTATCATCCTTGTTGAACATGGAAGGTTAAAATACACTTGGTAAATTCTAGAGTTTAGAATGGGAGATTGCGTCACGTATGTATGTATATATGTTGTTAACCCAAAAAGCCCAAACGTCGAAAGATTCTCTTTGGATAAATGAAGGAATGGCCCACAGCAGTCAGTGCCGGTGTACAATCTTGGACGGACAAACATCTTCTCCACTTGTGACGGTTTGACAGTACCCATTTCCTTCCTACACGTACGTGAGTCTGTTTTTAATTCTCAGAATTACAATCATACTAAATAAATTCTCCAGATTCATTCATTTATTAATCTATGACTATTAGAGCCAACCAACTATAAATTCCAATAAGTTGCTTTGCTTGCAAAAATGGCCACTTCTAAAAATGGAGGTGAATGGACTGGGGATTCGCGGTTTTTCATTGTGAATTACCAAACTGGAGGAATTTTGGACCTCATGCGCTTCGTCCTATCAGGTAACAGTGATAAATTTCTTCACTATTCCGACGGCGTGGTGGAACAGTTGCCACGTGGTGGCGATCCTGATCATAGATGGGTTATATTTGTATCCATTATAGTGCGGAAAATAATCGCCATTTTCGGTAAACCCATGGAGTGGTTTGGGTATCTCCTCGAGTTCATCCTCAACCTTCTCTCTCTCAATGGCAACTTTCTTGGCCTTTTCTACAATATCTTGCATGGTAAGTAACTACTTAATACTTAACACTTTCTTTCTTTCCTTCCTCCTTTTGCTAATTATAATGTACACATCCATGGATTTAAGTATTATGCACTGTCCCTAGCTACAAAAAAGTTTAAAATTTGTAAATACTTTTTTTCCCCTTACCAAGGTTGGGGTGGAAACAAAAAGAATTTTAATAGAAGATTATATGAGTCACATGTTCCATGAGGTGCTGATTTTGTCTGCTTTGTTGGGCACTCTTTGGAATTTGCCTTCTTATAAAGTGTTATTCTTGCCATTTGGAAGAAGCGTATCGTTCATTTGAATAGGACTTCCAAAATTTATGAACAAAAGTATATTTCCCATAACAATCTGACGTTAGTCCAATGCTTCCATTCACCCTGCTGCTATGCACTTACTTGCCACTTCCGCTACTAAATATCATGATCTGAGGACACACTTATCTTTTTGAGTTGAATGCTGGCTCAAACTACTGTGTCGTGTTTCCATTATCAAGCTTTGTCTGTGTAATTATATATTCATCAACAAAATGTTTTCTGAAAACAGGAAACGTGGTGATGCCACAGAGAGGGTCAGAAATGTTTATAAGTGCTATTGGGCATTTAGATGGGCGTATAGACTTATACAAGAGTGAGACGTTAACCAAGGAAATTGGAGAGCCTGATTTCTGGCAGAAAAATATTCAACTTGGAATAGGACACAAAGTCCTTATGGACCTCTGTATGATGGCTTCAAAGTTGGCCTACGAGAATGCAAAGGTTGTTCAGAATGTCGTAAATATTCACTGGAAGGTTATGTTATGATTCCTTCTCTTTTCTTGTTCTTCTGCTCTAACTAATGGAAGAAAATAAGTTTACCATGTTGTTTATGAAAACTTATACTTTAAATTGCTTTCCATAACAGATGCATTTTGTGGATTTCTACAATTGTTGGAATGGTGAGAATTCAGCCTTTACCTTACATTCGAGTCATATAAAGTTACCATTTAAGTACACCCTCTCTCGGGGCAGAGTTAATCTTTTAAGACTTGCAAGTCGCTTCTTGCCAGTCTTCAAGGGAAAATAAAACCACATGTGAACTCACCTTTCATCCTTTTATTTGTTTATCACTGTTACTGGTTTATTTTCTATGTTGGAGCAGACTTTGACTCATTTACTTCTTTTTCTTCGTCATCAATTGTTATGACATCTTCTGATTTATGGGCTGTTTGCTTGTTCTTCCTCTGCACTTGCTGAAATAGATTTCGAGAAAGAGATGTCCACCCAGGTTTTTATATTGTGCGATAAGCCAAAAGATGCAAACTTGATAGTCATCAGCTTCAGGGGCACAGAGCCTTTTGATGCTGATGACTGGATCACTGATTTTGACTACTCTTGGTACGAGATTCCAAAACTTGGCAAAGTACACATGGGTTTCTTGGAAGCCTTAGGTTTAGGGAGCAGAGCTAAAGCATCTACGTTCCATGAACAACTGTTCATGAATAATCAGAACTTCACCAAGTTAGAGAATGATGCAACTATTGCTCCTTCAGAAAGTTCTGAATCTTCTACCATGTTCAGTGATTCTGATGCACACAGTGTGTCAGACCAGTCACCTGAATCAGATAGGCCTACTGATACCGGCTCAAAGAAGTTCAAACTAGATATGCCAGAGAGGACGGCATACTATGTTGTCAGAAGTAAACTCAAAAGGTTACTCAATGAGCACAAGGATGCAAAGTTTGTTGTTACAGGCCATAGCCTTGGTGGAGCATTAGCTATATTATTCCCGACAGTCCTAGTGCTGCATGAGGAGATGAATGTCATGGAACGATTATTGGGAATATATACGTATGGGCAGCCAAGGGTTGGGAACAGACAGTTAGGGAGGTTCATGGAAGCCCATTTGGAACATCCAGTCCCAAAGTACTTCAGAGTTGTTTATTCCAATGATCTTGTGCCAAGATTACCTTATGATAATAAAACATTCCTGTTTAAACACTTTGGGATTTGCCAGTACTACAACAGCTTATACGTTGAGCAGGTAAAGGCTTCAATGCCCTATTCTTTGTACAGTTATAAATGTTGCTTGTCTAATATCTGGTGTTCTTGTAGAAATGTCAATTGGCTTGCAGCACATTCTCCTCTAATATCCATTCAAGCTTCTTAGATGATGAAACATTTGTCAAATTTATTAATTTCATAGTGTTCAGAAGTCTCAATTCTTTTGCTGTTTCCTCATCGTAAAGTTGTCTAGCTAATATGAAATGAAAATGTTTTCTGTGTTGTACTAATACTTTTTCATGGTTGTCTATAGAACGTCGATGAAGAGCCAAACAGAAACTATTTTGGGCTGCGATTTCTGATACCATTGTATCTGAATGCTGGTTGGGAGCTCATCAGAAGCTTTACAATGGGTCACATGTACGGAGCCGAGTATGAGGAGTGCTGGGAATCAGTTGTGCTTCGCGTGCTAGGACTCTTCCTTCCTGGTATTTCTGCCCACAGCCCAGTTGATTATGTGAACTCCGTCAGACTTGGAACGGAGAGAAGTACCCAAATGTCGTCTTTTTAGAAATACTTTTGTTGGGGTTTACAGCTACAGAAGATCATGCAGAAGGTGTCCAGTTTAGTTTTTGAAGGTTGTTTTGGAGTTTATTAATCGAAAGTATCAGCTTTTTGTTTATGAGTTCAGTGAACTTTAGACTTCCCTTTGTAGAATATATACATTTTAGTTTTCTTGACCAACTTTTCCTTCTGTAATTGACATTTTGTTCAAACCATCCACCAATGTGGAGAAATCGAAAAGAATCAACTAAAAGGGAATCTCTAATACATCCTGCACAAATAGTATAGTATAGTCCTCAAAACTACATAATATACACATTAAAATGTCTACATGATGTAACAGTAATATTTGGTAGCATTGCAGAACTTCACTATTTTGTCTATGTTGATTAATATTCCTTGAAATATGAAACAAGCACATATTTTATTCAAGTCGAACATCCTAATTTAATAAACGTACATGGATCTAATTTTGACCGCTCAACCCAAAATATTTATATCGCATAGCTAAGACATAATATTTGCCACTAATACAAACGTAATTCCCTCCTTTTGTTTTCATCCTGGTGGAAGAACCATTTAACTTTTCTTTCTCATCTGACATTAAAAAAAAAGCTATATATAGCTAAAAAAAAATAAAAAAAAAATTGGTAGAATCATTCATGAGAACAAAATTACAATATTAAATAGCGTGTGGTGTTAAATTTACAGAGGTTGGTGTGTATAAATTAGGTAGATACTTAGATATATAAAAAGGTCAAACACATATGCAGACTCTTAAACTTGTCCCTAAATTTCATTTTGACACTCCAACTCAACTTTGTTCTATTTATACCCTTCAACTCCAATTTTTATGTTCCATTTTGACACTTTTAAGTGATGTGACAGAGAGTGTGCATCACACATTCTCTAAGAGAGTGAAAGACAGAAAAAAAGTATTTTTTTAAAAAATAATAAAAGATTACCCTTCAACTCTATTTCTTTTATGTACCATTTAACACAAAATACTAGTTTTATGATTTCTTTATTTTTATATATGTTATTCAATTGCAATTTTGCATTTTAAAAATCGACGATCATCCGTTAATTATTGTAAAAAATTAAAACTATCGGATTATCATTGTTTTTTTAATAAAAAAAGTAACAATTTCTTTTTAAGAGTTTTCCTATATTTTTGCGTGAAAAATAACCGACGAAAGTGCGTCGATTTTCTTTCTTAAAAAAATCAATGACAACCCAACAAAGTCTATTGTGTTTCAACATTTTTTGGTAGTGTTATTAATTAGCAATGAACATGAATTTTTTTTACTCGTATTTAATTAGTTGAATGAAAAATTAGAAAGCTGATATTTGAGTTAGTCCAAGTAGACTAGATATGAAAAAAAATATATGTGATGTTATTTAAATTAACTAATTATTTTTTAAAAAAAAACAACACACTTTCGCAGATTATTTTTTCCCACAATAATGTACAGAAAATCTAAAAAAAATATTTCTTTAAAAAAACAATGTTCATCCATGAGTAGTTAAAGCAAGTGAATGATTTGAAATTCGAGTGGCATGTGAAGTACACACATCTCACTTTGTTGGTTCTTTGGAAAGAAGTGTCAAAATGGAACATAGAAATTGGAGTTGAAGGGTTAAAATAGAACAAGGTTGAGTTGGAGTGCTAAAATAAAATTTAGGGAGAAGTTTAAGGGTCTGCATATGTGTTTGGCCTACGAAGAAAAAGGTTTATCTCCCTAGTGTGGCTATGGTGGGACGTGTCAAATTTTGGATTGTAGCCAAACAGCAGATTGAGTTAAAGAATGAAAATACCAAACATTAAGGGAAGTGGCCAAACCACCGAAAGCAGGCATCTTCACCATAAATTAGTTTGTTTATTTATACAGTAAAGATTCAAGATTATACGCTTTTACTTGTTATAGCATTCCCAATTCTTTGTCTTGGTATCTTTTTTGTGGGTAACTGCCAAACCACCACAAAATTCAAGTTTCCATTTTTAACTCTTCATCTTCAACCTAACCAAATTTATTTGCTTAATTGTGCAGAATCATTCCCTATATCTTTTAGGTGGTTTCATTCGTTCCGAGGTAAGAAAAGATTTTTGTTTCTTTGATTTCATCAACTGAATGCTTTACATGAGAAACTGTGTGCCACCCGTTTAACTTCTGGGGTTTGTGGATCTTGTTCATTTTTTAGGTGGGGTGTTTTCTTTTTTCTACTTGATTTTGTGTATAGTGTAAAGCTAGAATCTTTTTTTTTACTTTTATTATATAAATTTGTTTGATAAATGCTTCTCAACTAGAATCTTGACAAAGAGAAGGAATTTTACTTAGTATTCAGGTTCAGAAATGGACAATTTTCTTACTGTGAAATATCCTCATGGCAGGTTTTACTGTTATTTTTCAGTAAAATGCCTCAAATTGGACTTGTTTCTGCTGTTAACTTGAGAGTCCAAGGTAGTTCAGCTTATCTTTGGAGCTCGAGGCCGTCTTCTTTGGGAACTGAAAGCCGAGATGGTTGCTTGCAAAGGAATTCGTTATGTTTTGCTGGTAGCGAATCAATGGGTCATAAGTTAAAGCTTCGTACTCCCCATGCCACGACCAGAAGATTGGTTAAGGACTTGGAGCCTTTAAAGGTTTGGTTTAATTTCTATAGACTGATGACTTGAATTATCATCTCAAGGCGTATATTCTCTAAAATAAAGGAAGTATCTTGTCATTCAGGTAGTATGCATTGATTATCCAAGACCAGAGCTAGACAATACAGTTAACTATTTGGAGGCTGCGTTCTTATCATCAACATTTCGTGCTTCTCCGCGCCCAACTAAACCATTGGAGATTGTTATTGCTGGTGCAGGTGATATTCCAGTCATCTATATTTGTAGCATTCGTTTTACTTTATTTCGAAGGAAGCATTTTATTGCTGTATTATCATTAGAATATTTATTGTACCTGTACATGCCTTTTCTGATTAACTGTTTTAGACAACAAAATTTGAGGTAATTAAGCTCTTGTCATTTTGCAACTAAATAGAAAGTCCCTGCTGATTGGATTAGGAGCAGTTACACAAGTAGTAAATTTTGACTATTCTGCCATTACTCTCTTTATTTCTGCCGTTATAATGTCGTATCTCTCTATCATATGAGCCATGATAAGTCAGTGAACATGCTATTGATTGAGTGACATGTCCAAATGGCGACTCTGAAGTATTAGAGGTGTATATATCAATTCTCCAGTGCAAGAGTGATCCCACTATACCTATAAATTGCATATGTGGAGTTCCAAAATTTGAACACCAATTTAAGTTACACAAAAAGGGGTTGCAGTCTTCTAATGCATGCAATCTTTGAGAAAGTGAAGGAGATATATGATAGATCTTCATATTTCATCTTTACAATGCTGGAGCAGTGACCTCTCAGCTACATTGAACTTGTTCATTGACTAGGCTTGCAAAATACTGCACTAGTCTGTAATCAACTAGTTGAAAATTATCTGAATACCTAAAGAAATGTTATTTGCATGATTTGTTCTATTGTACTACAGAGTATATAATAAAGAATGCTACGCAATGTACTAGATAGCTGTTTCAGATAAATGGAGCTATAACATGATTCTATGATAATTCAACTTTTTGGAATATCAGGTTTGGGTGGTTTGTCTACAGCAAAATATTTGGCAGATGCTGGTCACAAACCGATACTACTGGAGGCAAGGGATGTTCTAGGTGGAAAGGTTAAGAAGACTAAAATATTTCCTTTTTTTTAAAAATAAAATAAAATCCTCTTCTTTTTGTGTCTTTCCCTATTAGTAGTCCTTTTTGGGGTAGGGTCTGTTTGTTTCATATAAATATGTGCTGTCTTTTCTGTGAGATGCTACGTAAACTAGCTGATATCTTTAGTGTTGTACACTATGTTAAGTAGTTTCGAAATAAAAACCCCTTTCTGTTAGTTTGTTCTATGTTTAGATGCATATTTTTCTCTGAAGAACAGATGTCCTTTCTGTCTACTTGCTTTAGTTACATTTGTCTTTAGGTGCAAGTTGGTGTTGGCATATACTTACTGTTTGTTCTATGTTTTGATGCATGTTTTAGTTTAACCTTTTTGCCTACTCAATGTCCTTTAACCAAGAGTCTATTTGCATGCTATTTCTATCTCGCATTTTATGCATCTATATGCTTTCATGTGGAAATGGCTAGAATGGATTGTAAAAGCAAACAATTGATTTAGCATTATTCTTTATGTGTTCTAATGTTGAGAATTTATATCTCCCTTTAGGTAGCTGCATGGAAAGATGATGATGGAGATTGGTACGAGACTGGTTTGCATATATTCTGTAAGTTTGACCTTACATTTCAATAATTTTTCGTTAATCTTCTAATATTGTCATTATGATTTTTTAAGATCTTTTGTCCATTGGACATCTCCTGTCCTTGTTTGTTATTTATCTTTTACAAATAGCCTATTATTGTCAGAAAATCTGTATTATGCCTTGCTTCTCCTTTCTCATTTTGATATTCATATAGCGACTCTTACAAATTGGTGCTTGATCTCTTTTAAGTTGGGGCTTACCCAAATATTCAGAACCTGTTTGGAGAATTAGGGATTAATGATCGATTGCAGTGGAAGGAACATTCAATGATATTTGCAATGCCAAGCAAGCCAGGAGAATTCAGCCGCTTTGATTTCCCCGAAGCTTTACCCGCTCCTTTAAATGGTGAGCACATCATGAATAAATTTAGCCCTCTGAAATCATGTTGTCAAACTTCCCTAATAAGTTATTAAATTGATTATTCAATTACACCTTTGGGACTTTACTAACCTTAAAAGAGCATTAAGGTTCATTACTTCTTCATCGGACCTTTTGTGTGCAGCTAAAGTGTTAACTGCTTTGATATAATTTGCAGGAGTTTTGGCCATCCTAAAGAACAATGAAATGCTTACATGGCCAGAGAAAGTCAAATTTGCAATTGGACTCTTGCCAGCAATGCTTGGAGGGCAATCTTATGTTGAGGCTCAAGATGGGATAAGTGTCAAGGACTGGATGAGAAAGCAAGTGCGTAATCAGTTATGTTGCTTT